GCTCTCTCAGAATCTTTTTGTTTCTGTATACAGCTGGAACAGATGGCATGTACACGCTGGTTTCTGCAATTCATGCTTTGAATGATACAGCTGCTAAAGATATGTATGTCAGTGAATGCCAAGATGCCAGTAAGTTCAATCAAACTCTCGTTCAAGGGAATCTCTTACTTTGCAGCTACTCCATCCGGTTTGTGCTTGGGCTTTCCACCATTAAACAGGCCTCGGAAACTGCTGAGAACCTTAGTGCAGCTGGAGTTGTATTTTCCATGGATCCTTTTGTTATCAGTTTTCAACTTAATCCGGTTCCAATGAGATTACCTGGAATTATAATTCCTTCCCAAGATGATTCTAAGGTGAGTTTGGATGTGTAAATGCTTTTAGGATCTGAATAGATCAACTTGGACAGATTCTTTTGGTTACATGTTTACTCGTTCTGTGAGTGTTGTTACACAAAAGTTTTCATCTTCGATTTTAATTTGGTGATCTTAATTAATTTGGCAGATTTTACTTCAGTACTACAATTCTTCACTGGAGGAAGATGAAACTACAAAGAAAATTGTTAAGTTTGGGGCAGTAGCCTGCATTTCAGGGGGAATAAAAGCTAATTTCAGCTTATCTGCTCCGAAGGTTATGTACTATTCTGCAAGGGGGCCAGATCCAGAAGACAGTTCTGTGGATGATGCAGACATATTGAAACCCAACCTAGTTGCTCCAGGAAATTCTGTATGGGCTGCTTGGAGTTCCCGTGGTGCTGAATCGATTGAATTTCAAGGTAGTCCTTATCAAAAGAACTAAACAATGCTCTCGTGAACTACCTCTAAAAGTGTGGGGGTACTCATATAGCAATATTTGCTGACTCAAGTACTTCCTATAATTTAGGTGAAAGCTTTGCAATGATGTCCGGTACAAGCATGGCTGCGCCTCATATTGCTGGTTTAGCAGCCTTGATTAAGCAAAAATTCCCCACCTTTAGTCCTGCTGCAATTGGATCTGCCCTTTCTACAACAGCCTCTCTCCGTAATAAATATGGGGGCCCAATATTAGCCCAGCGTGCATATGCTAACCCAGATTCAAACCAGTCTCCTGCAACACCTTTTGACATGGGAAGTGGATTCGTGAATGCTACTGCAGCACTGGATCCAGGCCTTATTCTTGATACAAGTAAGCTACTCTTTGCTTTTTGATCTCTTTACCCACGATGTTGAGGAGAAACTATTGTTCATTGGCATTTCTAAATGACAGATCTCGTAATCTCGGGGGTGAGTGTAGTTCCTAGAATTGCAGAATGATGAGAATTGAGTAGACGAATTATGTTTGAATTTTAGATGCAAGTTTTCCAAACAAGGTTTGCTTAGTTCCTAGAATTGCAGAATGATGAGAATTGAGTAGACGAATTATGTTTGAATTTTAGATGCAAGTTTTCCAAACAAGGTTTGCTTAGTTCCTAGAATTGCAGAATGATGAGAATTGAGTAGACGAATTATGTTTGAATTTTAGATGCAAGTTTTCCAAACAAGGTTTGCTTAGTGTAGCTCCGAAGGACATCCCATACAACAATTTGCCTAGCCTAATTATCAGACAAAACTATGAACTGAAGTAAGTACGTCTAATGTGAATCTCAACACATTACACTCGTATTAGGGTTCATTATCTCATGCTTGAAGAAAGAACTAAGAGAGTTCTAACGGGCGATTTTTTTATTGCAAAAAGGATATTTGATTAGGATTCTCAAACTAAAAACACTATCTTATATAGTGGTGGGAACAATCCTTCGGGATACGATAATTGATATTCCTATTGGACACGAGAGATAGACATATAGATAGACGCAAGACACAAGGAAAATTATTGAAACCAATAATAAAGGAAAAACTTTGGTCACACTTGAAGAGAACAAAATAACCTTAATAAATCTACTCAACCTTAATAATGTCCTCGTCTGATGGAGTGACAGATGGAGTTGATTGTGGACTTGACAATCTCTCTTCGATCCACCAACCTAGACCATGTTTTATTTTTAATAGAGACATGCTCCTTTGTCTTTTTCATTTAGTGCATCTGAGTCGCTTGTTTCTTAATAAGCTCCGAAGATACACTTCCAAGAACAATCCCCCAAGGAAATCTGGCCAAAAGCAGCAGATTTTGCTAGCTGGAAGTAGACCTCTAACCGTCCATATTGGACCGTGCACGATGAAGCACTACTATTTACCAGTTTCAAAAAATTAAACGTGCATGATGAAGCACTAAACGAATTAAATAATGTGTTTTTCTGAGATTCTCAAGATCTAAATGAGATTGATACATACAATATACATAAGTGGATTCAAACTGAATGTATCAATCTATACTCCACCAAGGAAAGGTAGAGCAGAAAAATCAGCTTTTTCTTATTCTTATCAAAAAGAAATTTCGCTCACAAGCAAGAGAAAAGAAACAAGTGGTTCAGGCGCACTACTTGTAAAAGACGACGGAGCAAGGCATTGCTCAAAAGAAGACTTGTAGATTGGTGGATCGAAGGACCTTTAACTATGCAATCAACCTCACAGTCCATCAGACAAGACGTGTCAACCAATCAAATGTATTAATTAGGGTTTTCTTATTCTCCACTAAGATGTTAGTCGAGTGTGCTATCAGTAAGTAAATGCCAGTTGTCAATGTTTGTCCTTAACCTATATTATTGTTCTCAATAATTGTCTTTATGTCTATACCTTGTGTTTCCACAAGGAAACTCAATTATGAGATCCTTGTTCTCTTCCAACCTCTATATAAGGAAGCCTTCTTAGTCTGTGAAGTTTAGAATTGGGTCTTGTATCAACGTCATTTGTGCAATAATAAGAATGCTTTCTAGTTTAAACTCGTTCTTCATAATGTGAGAGGTTGATCTTTCTACAAGTGTAGATTGCTAAGAATCGCTATAGAGGTATTTACTGTAGTTTAAAATTTTTTGGAATCTCGCAATCTATTGGCAAGGAGTGTCACTGAGAGGATAGGCTAGGGCAAATCTTTCTAGTGTAGTTTTTGCATCTCTAATTCAAACTATAAATTTGTCTATTTAGTTGATTAGTTCTCATCATACTGCGATTCCAGGTCATAGACTCGTGTTTCCTAAGCATACGATTTGTTTCATATAAAGGGCTACGCGAGTTTTGACTGAAATGAGAAATGAGTTTTGATCGAAATGAGAGTTGAGAGTAGTTAAACACACAGTTAATCATTTAAAAATGTTTCCGAAAACAATGACTAATTATTTTGAGGGCGGACTTTGTTCAGAATACGTCATTGTAGCATATCTTTGTCTGTCAGACATGGAATTTAGAAATCTGATTTGTAGGTTATAATGACTACATGGCGTTCCTCTGTGGCATAAATGGATCAGCTCCTGTGCTTCTGAACTACACTGGTGAGAGATGTGGTGTCTCTACTATGAATGGAATTGACCTGAACATGCCTTCAATCACAATATCAAAGCTGAACCAATCAAGAAAAGTTCAAAGAACATTGAGCAACATAGCTGGCAATGAAACATATATCGTCGGTTGGAGTGCACCTTATGGAGTTTCTGTTAAGGTTACCCCAAAGCGATTTTTTGTTGCAAGTGGACAGCAGCAGGTCTTGAATGTGTTCTTCAATGCTACCATGAACAATAGTACAGCAAGCTTTGGAAGAATTGGATTATTGGGAAATCAAGGTCATGTTGTAAACATTCCTTTGTCGGTCATAGTAAAAATCTCATACCACTCAACTAACAGCTGATGATATCTCTGATCTTGTAATTTTGTTAGGAATTCAATTGTTTGATTTGTCAGGCACTGTAAATGTGTTTCTAATGTAGGTAGGTAGGTATCCGTTGAGTAATGATAATTTTCAGTTCCTCAATCACAATCTCTCCCCTATATATTTATAATTTCGAAGTAAGAGTTTTCTATGCGAGGGTTTGTACAACATACCCAATGACATGATCAACTCAACAACGTAGTAGGAGTAGTAAAATTGTAAAAATAAGCCTGAGCTGAGACTCAAGTTTATGTTACCGTTTCCTTTTTGCCTTAGTCATGGGGAATTCAGAACTCAATTTCATCTACTAGTGAAAGTCTTATCACTTATGTCATATCATATTAGCTCTTTGTTATCCTTCATTTCATGGTGAACATTATTTTTTCTTTTTGCACCTCCCAAATTAGGAGGATCTAGTGTTTCCACACCCAAATTAGGAGGATCTAGTGTTTCCACACTTCCCCTCCAGCTTGACTCGAACCTAGGACCTAACGGTCGTGAACATGCTGTCTCCCAATATTTAGACTTCTGATGCTGATAAGGTACTGTTGGAGGAAAAAGCATTTCACGCTTATCTTTTTCTACTTTAAAAGAACAAGTTCGAATGTGAAAGGAAATCTTTTATGTTTCTAAATCAAGACTACGATAAACAGGGTCAGTTGAATAAAAGAACTACCCTATCGTAATTAAAGGATAAGGGCAAATGATTTGCTCCTTTATTGGAAACTTAAAGAGATGATCCTTTCCACATATAAATTGATCTTGAGCAAACAACACAATTCAGATTCAAAACTTCCTAGTACTAAGTTCCTACACATTTTAACGTCAGACATAAGATAAAGTGAATAATAGAAAGTGCTTTCAAATAGCAATTCATTACGTAAATGAAACAATGCAAAACAAAAGACAGTTCCACAGGTGTATTTGACAAAGCAATTCAGCTTAATAAATCAATAAGCTGTAATTTTTTGACAAAGCAAACCACACTTCCACAGGTGGGATCGTATTACTAACATTTTGAAGACACCAGGATAGATTGTTTTTAGTGTTTTAATAATACAATCAACAACTGCTATACCTCATTTCAAGTTTATTGTTACAATACAAACACTATGGATACCATTTATTATTTTTTTGCTTTCATAGAATATGATCTACTACTCATATGTGTTAAATGACTTATTCCTTAAAAAAACTGGAATACGAATGAGATCCACAATGCCATCATCAGGAGAAAACATGCTTGAATTAAGCAAGGAACCGATACATACAATTACTTTCACTAGTATACACTACAACTGCACTCTGTGAAAATTATTCAGCTTCCACTGTCAGCTCATGTCTCTTTCTTTTCTCCTAAATCAAGATAAGAAAAAATCTACTGTCCAGGCCAAAAGAATACAATCATTAAAAAAAAAACGATTCATCTGACAAATCATAAACTGTGTATGACAGCTCCAAATTTGCTGTTAAGGACTCTTTCTCCCCTCAAAACTCCATTTGGTAATAAGACATCCAGTTAGAAGACCGCGCATCTGGGGAAATTGCAGAGTTATGTGAAGAGAAATTTCCAACAATAACTATTTTACAAATTTGTACATAAATGCGATAGTAGTCAATGACACAATTTGAGAAAATCCAATGATTGATATTACTCAGAATCAGTTAGCAATGAAACTCACATGAGATTTTAAGATGAAACATAAGTTAAATGTAAGCTTGGGCAAGTGTGAACTAATGAGCTTCTGCAGTGCACTTCTTCCATAATTGTTACTATAAACTCTGGCACATTTTCCACATCTCTAAGCAAGCTCTCATCTCGCTGTGATATTTCACATTTCTCTACTACTCATCAAGACACTCTCCCCCTTGTTAATTACTAAACACAATCACACATCCACCTAATTGCGGCGATATGAGTTAAATGTAACTGATTAGATGAGCAAAGGCATTTTCAACAATGGAGCAGTAGGAGATGCAACCCATGCACAAATATAGGATGTGGCATGCTGCTTGTTTAGATAGGTTGTATATAAGTGTGAGTACAACAGTATCGCACATACTCAATGCTTTTCCTTATTACTCTTTTTCCATCTCTTTTATCTCTCACACAGCTTATCCCTGACCTCTGATTCATTATAGTGTCTCTTATTATCTATTCACATAAAGAGCCCAGTAACACCATATGTACCTTCAAATTAATTGTACAATATTGATGCATAGTCTTCAGGTGTCCTCTTGATTGCTCCAATCACGCTTATCCAATGTTTTTGAGATGTAGACTACTTTACAAAGAATCTATTGACTTGCTTCCGCACAGAAATTTTGTGCCAGAAACTCATCAAGTTGCCCCCAATTAGGAGGATTGGATTTACTATCAGAAGGCAATGATCTGATACATCCAAGCAGATGCTGAACATCACGATACGTTCTGTTACAAGAAAAAACAAGTTAATTAATAATAGGAGGTAACAGATAAAGGAATAAATAAAGAACTCCCAGGGAAGGTTTTAGTTATAATTAGAAATTGTATCATTCAAAGAATATTAAATAGTATTAATCACTAAACTACGTCTCATATGAATAAAATTTCTCATTATATAGACACTAGACAGTACCTTTGTCTAGCTTGTTGACTGCTAATATCCAATCGTGAGAATGCTTCTGAAATTTGTGAGTGAAAGATAATAACCACTTGCCTGCAAGTATCAGATTTTTTAGTACCATCTGTTGCAAGCAAGGACTAATTCAAGACGTACTTATGCTTAGTATCCCACACTCATTAGTAATGATAATCATTGGTACAAACATATTTGGTCACAAATACCTAAAGTCCTTTTTGAAGCAAGGGACGAAGAGAGAGAAAACACTTCTTCCAGTTTTCAAAGCCAGCATCCAGGGTATATAAATTAGTTTAATCAATAAATATAACTGGGGAAGTAGTTAGGGAAAGCCATACTTGAGGATGTTTATATCAAGAGTTATATTCACTGCCTATGTGAAGCTAATCTTCTAGATAGCTCTCTTGTAAAGTAAGCATGCATGTTACTCTTTTTTCCCCCTTTTTTCCGACAGAAGTGCAGGGATGGATTACTTTTTTACGAGAATCAAAAGAAGGGCATCACTGCTGGCGCAAGAAAAACCGAGCCCCCCCCCCCCCCCCCCCC